CTGAGGGCATGAAGCCTGCAAAGTCTCAAGGAGATAGGTGCGGGGGCTTCTGTGAAAGTGCACAAACTTTCAAACTACTGAAAGCAAAACTTGTGTCACTTGTATGTGTTACCTGGGTTTCTGGTTGTAGTTGTGTTGGTCTAAGGAACAGACAGGCAAGGTTCTTTGAGTAAATGTGATATCTTTTATTAGACCAACTGAATAGTTGGAGAAATATATCTTGGCAAGCTTTCAGGTTTAAAAACCCTTTGTCAGCCTGAGAAAGCACCTGCAGTTGGTGTGTGTGCGCGTGCTCTTCCTGGATGGAATAAACAGTAAAGAAGCCAGAGGCTGGTATGCAGGCAAGGAAGCCAGTCAGTAAAAAGCATACATTGAGGCATCATGGGGTGAGAGACAGGCTGCGGAGTGGGGGGGGGAGAGAAATCAGATGTCAAGCAGGTTATAGGTGTCATAAATCCAACATCTATATTGAGCCCATAAGTTTTTGTATCAAGGAGGCTGATGAAATGAAGCTCATAGACTCGTCTGTGAAAAGTGTTTTGTAAATTCAAACAAGCACCAAACCTTGCTAACCTCATCACCAGAAGCAAACTTCCTACAGCCCAAAACACACCGAAAGGATCCAGACCATGACATGACAAGAAATGCAAAACCTGCCAACTTATCTCCAGTACCCCCACAATTATTACACCCCACAGCAGAACTATCACTATTCCTGGATCTAACAGCCACACTTCCAGAAACATTATATATCTCATATAATATCTGGACCAAATCTGGACCAAATGTCCAGATGGAAAATATGTAGGAGAGACTGAACAACAACTGCGCACCAGAACAAATGCACACTGGAAATCTATTAAAGACAAGAACACCCAATTACCAGTGGGGGCACATTTCTCACAAGAAAACTACTCTCTCCAATTTCTGTCCTGATCCTCAAAAGGAACTTACAAAACACTTTTCACAGATGAGCCTATGAACTTCACTTCATTAGCCTCCTCGATACAAAAACTCATGGACTCAATGTTGACATTGGATTTATGACCAGGCCACCAGGTCCCTCTCCACTTTTCCCTGCTCCATTTCCCCCCCCCCCCCCCCCCCAGCCCAACCTAGCCTGTCTCATCCCCTGACACCTCAATTTACATTTTCACCGACTGGCTTTCTTGCTTGCATACCAGGATGCATTACTCTGACTACTTTACTATTCATTCCATCCAGGAAGAGCATACACACCAACTGTAGGTGCTTCTTCAGCCCGACGAGGGTTTTTAAACCCTAAAGCTTGCAAAGATATATTTCTCCAACTATTGAGTTGGTCTAAAAAAAGATATCAGATTGACCCAAAGAACCTTGTCTGTGTTAAATCAGAGCAAGATGAATACAACAGGTGTGGTAGCCTGTAACAGTGGGCCTTCCTGGTGCTTGTTAGATCTCGGCCCGCACACCTTTTTCTGGGCCAACCGCCTTGATGGAAAACCATCAAGTTGGCATCACGCACCACCTTGACCATATTGGCCCCATTGTTGGTGACCATGAACCCATGGGTAAGCTTGGCCTTCCCAAAGAACCACCCCTGCACCATACAGTTCATGGCCACTATGATCTCCCTCGCAGTTTGGGACTCATCCATCACCTCTGCTTGAAGGAGAGCCCACCGACACCCTGACTGATTGCACCAGTTTTCTGTGAAGGAGCGGTAGGCATGATCTCCACCCCGGCTGCTTCAGATATCCAAGGTGAAGTGCAAAGCTACCTGCAGCCCTGTCTTCCACAGCTCTTCCTTCAAGTACTCCCTGCATGCCTCATACAGGGAGGGCACCACAGGCCTGCTAAAGGTGGTGCATGCGGACACGTGGTATGATGAGGCCACAAGCACCATGAGCCGCCTGAACCCTGGACACTCAACAAAGGAGAAGGGCTGGCCATCCAGAGCAAACATCTCCCTAATGTTCTGGGTGACCTAGCTCACCTTCGGACCGCACCCCCTTTTGTTCCCACCTTTTCCCCACTGGTCCAGGGTGGCCTGCCTCTACTTCTTGGGGATGGGGGCTTTTGGAACAAGTGGGGGACTTTCTTTTTGGCCACACTTCCATTGGTGCCAGGCTGAGGAAGAACATGGGCAAGGGGGTGCTGACTCCTGAGATGCAGCAGCACTGCCGTGGTGGTAAAATGTTTCTTGTCCTTGCTCCAACTGATCAGCTTTCGGCAGTGCTGGCAGGTAGCATACTTGGGATCATCTGCCACCTCAAAATAATCCCAAACTACACTACCCACCCTCTTCTGGCTTGAGGCTGGGGCTCTTGCCTTATCCCCCTCCTCAGCAGACAGAGGAACAACAACAGGAGGAGCTGAGCCACCTGCCCCTACAACCTCCTCCGAGGTGGCTTCCAGAGAAGGAGAGCTGCCTCCAAGGGAATTTCGAAGGGTGTGGAGCATAAATTCAGATTCCTCCTCCCTTCCCCAGAATTTCCTTGGCTATGGCATTCAGCTCCCCTGCTTCTAGATCCAGCTCTTCCTCTGGCACTGGGAGGCTCATGCTGGCAACTGAAATTGGAATGGAGAATGTCATGCTGCTGCTGGTTGTGGTTTCTGGTGTTACTGGTAATGCTGCAGGTGCAGACACAGCTCCCACCTCCTTGGTCCCACTAGCAGCAGAAGACTCCTCGCTGCCAGGAAAGAGGGAGTGTCTGTCCCCTCTCCCTCTCCTGCCAGAAAACCTGGCACCTGGCCTTTCCAGCTTGCTTCATGATGTTTGGTGTGTTGCAAAATATACGTGTGCGCATATGTAATATATATGTTGTGCTTTCCTGCACAGTGATGACACACTGTTAGGGAAAACACAGATTTCTTTCTTTTTTTTGCGCGGGGGGGAGGGGAGGAAGGAGAGACAGGCATAACAAGAACAAATCAGAGGATTTTTGGTGAGGAATAAGCTGAAAGGAATAGATAACAATAGGGATTGGAGGCAAGGGTAATTAGGAAAGGATTGGATAGAACTTGGTGGCAAGAGACTACTTACTACCAAGTCAGAGCCCTTCAGACGCTGCTGCTCCAACAGAGAGACAGATAGCTCACAGAAGGCACATAAATGAGTTCGTACACAGCCTCATAACGTTGTTTCTACATCCTGCCCCCAGAGCACTGCGATTGGAAGGGAACTCAGAGAAAGATCACAGTCACGGGCCAGCTACAGATGTCAATATCAGAGCATTCTCCCTGTCCGTCGTCCGCCCCCCCGTCTCGGTTTGTTTCCTGCATGTCTGTCTTCCGAATCTCTGAATCTTTTTTGAATCGATTCGGAGACTTTGATTCAATTCAGAGCTTTTAATGGGTTTCTCAATTCGATTTGGATTCAGAGATTCAGCTGCCGAATCAGGCCAAATCTCCTCTGAATCAAAATCCAGTCTAGATAACCTCCAGGGCCTGTTGTTGCATTGTAATATTCATTTGATTGAAAGCCTGAAGCACTAAGAATTTCTTTAGGAGGTGCAGAGAATGGAAAGAGAATAAAGCTGGTTCTAGAATAGCTCTTGAAAGGACCGAACTTCTGACTTGTTGATTGGTAACAGAAATGAAAGGGTAACCTCAGATGAGGGAAAGATGCATCCTGATTGCTTCTTAGAAGTTTGGTAGGTCTAATAAGCCAGGTAGGTAACAAGGTTGAGAGAGAGCTGGCTTGTTTCTTTAATGAAGAAGGATTCACACCGATGATCTTTGTGGCACGCAAGTCTAAGGACAGTGAAAGATCCTGTACTTTTAAGCTAAGAATGACACTTCAAATGGTAAATAATAGTTATTTGGACCTCATGTGGAATACCAGACATCTGCAAGGAATGCATACACTTCATGCTTTCACAGTGTAACTGCTGTAACAATGTTTTCTGTTGCTTGTAGTAAGGCTCTGGAAAATGATGTTCAAGGATTGCATTAATCCTCCTCAGAGCTACTCTGGTACTTCATACAGAACCTATGCCAGTCTACATAGCTGTTTCTTCCAAGGATATCAACACATTTCAGCTCCTTCCCCACTGGCATAGACTTAGAGCTTTATCACTTTGGACACTTTTGAGCGGCTGTGACTATACCCAAATTAACTTCATTCATACAACATGATGTAAATTAATACATTTCTGGCAAGATATGAAGTCTGAAGACCAACAGTAGATAACTTCAAGTTGCCCAACTGAAACAATCAGTGGAGACATACAGGGGGTGCATGTGCACCCCACGAGAGTGCTGGTGCACCCCCTGTCCAGCCACACTTGCCACTTACGGCACCCCTGGGCAGCAAGATCAGCTGCAAGGGGCAGCGAGATTGGCCATGGGGAGGGGGACCCCCCTGGCCAGTGGGACTGGTCAAAGGGGGAGCACGTGCCTGCCCTGACTAAGGCGGCACCACTCGCCCATGAACTTAATACTAAATGACTAATCATAACCTTCACATTAATTAAAAAAATATCACTATAATGAGAAATATAGCAGGAGAAACCAAAGTAGTCAAGTTTCTGTTACAAATTGCATATTTCAGGTCTCAAACATCAACTGATTGTGGGGTGCAAACATAACATAAACCCATGACAAGTCTATAAATCAGCATCTGAAAATTTTCAAATCTAGTCTGGAGAAAAGTAATGGCAGAGTGGAAAACAGTATCAGGTTCTTTTTTATGAACTCGCTACACAAACAACTCAGTCCCGACCTTCCAAGGCAGATGTCATCAGCAATCAGCTGCTAAAAATGCAGTTCTTCCAAAAACTAGCAGGAACAGGAAATATGTTCTTTCAGTGGGGGATTCTAAACCAATTCATTAAAATTAGGGAATTTGTATTTCCTACAGAGATGGGATCAAGTTGTGTGGAGACTGTGGCATATTTTAAACAAGTTTACAAATGGTAAAGGAAACAGTCTTTGAGAAAGAAACTAAAAACATGAACAGTGGCTATCACAACAGGACTCTGACATGATTAGGACTCCCATACTGACAAGATACTTGCCTACTGGTAGTGTAAGGGGAATCCATCGCTGCTCCAACACAGGTTGGAAGAGATGTCGAGTAGGAGATTAAGGCTGGTGAAAACTCTTGAGGAGAGGTAAGATATTCAGGGGACTGTGACTGCTGTTGCTGCACAAGGATCTGCTGCTGTAAGAGAGCTTGTTGGTACTGCTGCACCTGGGGAAGATCATTATGAAGTTACTATTATGGTCACTAGCAAACCACTTTGATTTAACTTAAAAATGTTAACATTTTGACCTGTTTTACCATAAATTTTACATAAAAGTTCAACAAAAACATCCAAGTCACATGTGTGTGCACCATGCATGAA